GGTGGGGATGGGACAGGTAACTTTCGTCTTTTAACAATGTTAAATACAGAGTTAAATATTTTAGCCAAGGTCTTAACGAACTGTTTGCAGATTGTCCTCTCTAGTCTCATGGGCTTCAAATAGACTTGTGCTGTGAAGGGCAGGTCTATTCAGGACAACCTTCATATGGTACGCTTTATCATCGAGCAAGTCGAGAGTGAAGCCGGGCTGATCAATTTAGATCAGACTTCGATAGGGTGGGCCATCGATTTCTGGAGACTCATTTCGGTGACCGGCTTTTGGCCTTACTTTCGCACCTGTATCCGACTTCTGTATGCGACTCCCGATGCGCTGGTGGAAGTAAATGGTGTTCGATCGGAGACTTTCGTATTGTCTCGCTCCATTCGTCAATGTTGTCTGCTTTCGCCTTTGATTTACGTTCCTGTGTTGGAACCTTTTCTTTTGCAAGTTAAAGACGAATCCCGATCCTACGCGGAATTTCTCTACCTGGTGCTACCCACTCGGCCAGGTATTCTGCCTGTGCTGACGACGTTTCTGTTCTTGTATCGAGCAGAGCCGAGATTGACAGCAAAGAAATCAGAAGGATACGAGACGGTGACAGGGGCCTAGATCAACTGTGATAAGTCATTTGGCTTACGCTTGGGTGCGTGGAAGGGAGGTTTATCTTCTCGGACTTTCCCTCTGGACAAACGGGCCGATCAAGATACTCAGTGTCTGGCTCGGTCCCGATCTCTTGTTGGAAAGGAATTGGTCGGATGTGCAAGAGAAGACCGAGGCTGCGTTTCTTCTGTGGATGCGGAGGAATCTTTTCTTAAAAGGGAGGGCGCACATCTACCCGATTCTCCTTTACCGACTTCCATACTAATTTCATTAGTAAGTCTCTTTTTCTCCTTTTTGTGGGGAGGCAAGTCCACTAAGGTACCACGGGAGATCTGTTACCTCCACCCTTCAGAAGGCGGTCTGGGTATGCCTAGCGTTGAGACTCGTCAACATGCGCTTCGCATTGCGTTCCTAGATCGAATGTGTCGCGATTCGGATGAGAAGGGCGTATCCTGGAAGGGAGACGCCCATAAGAACTTCCCATTCCTGAGAATGTGAATGTTGTATTGCTTTGAAACACCTCTTACACGCGTTGGATGGCATCTCCAACGTCCAGCCGTTTTTCCGAAGGGTATTATTTGTTAGGGGGTCAATACGTGATGATCTGATAGACGAGCTCGGTCTTACGAAGCAGGAGGCTCGCACAATATGGACACGAACGCCCGGGTTGAAATGCCTCAATAACGATGAGGCATCACTCACTTGGCTGGTGATACCTAGGGCCCTCTGTTCGGTGGGCTTGGAAAAATCTCCAAACTGCTTCATTGTGATGGGAAGATGAAGTCTGTGGGTCAGGCCTTCTTTCATTGAATGGTCTTAGTTCAATTGTGTAAGTTTATTGAAGGTATCATGGTTCGCGGAAAATGTTTCATTCTCCATGTTAGTTCTGCCTGTAGCAATGTGGTACCCCCCCGTTGACGAAGGCTGAACACTGTTCTTTGCTTACTAGGTGTTATAACAGTCGTGATTTAGTCAACACGTCAGAAGGAATTCTATGGGGCGAGAAGTTCACTTCTGCCCAAAGGATCTTCTATTTAAGGCATCAGTTTAAAGTCAAGATTAGGACGGAAAGGCAGTGGTTTTCTCCATCAGAATTTAGCAAAAAAGGTGGGTGAGTCTTGCGCGTTTGTGTCGAGTAAGAGGGCTGACTTAGAGTGACACTTTAATGCCGGTTAGGCATTAGGATATTGCCCTGTGTTGAACTTTGGCAGCCCCGCCCGAAATTAGTTTACTTTAGGGTTGTTTGTGACTTTAATTTCTTCCTTCGAGTTGACTTAGCTAAGGGATGTATGATCATTGGTCCCTTTTATTTCTCTTCCAACTTTCTTTAGTTTAATCCCCGCTCCCTTCCCCTGTTAGATGTTCAGAGATATCAGTTCTCTAGTGAATGAGGGGCGCTTTTCGTTTTTCGAGTGTGCGTTTCGTATTTGTTGTTTGAATAAGTGTGCGTTTCAGTGAGTATTTGGACGAATGTGTGTTTTTATATAGTCCTGTAATGATTTCGTCCGGTTAACTGATGTTTCTGTCACAATTAAGGATGGGGGGGTGTTATTACTGACACGATTTTATTTAATTTCTTGTAAATAGTTTTTGTTCATCTTTGTAAATGCACATTGGGGGTTTAGATTTTAAATTGTTATTATATTCCCCTTCCCACACAGACAAGAATTGTACATATGGTGGCTAGTTAGGTCTTCATAGAGATATTGAGATATTATGGTGAATGTAGTAAGAATGGTAAGTAAGAATGCATTGTTTTGGTGTAAGGAATATGGTAGTATGTTTGGATCAGTGATTGAGGCTACCCAAGTGTAATTATAAAACAGAAGAAGACTAACCTTTTTCCCCCATGCCTCGTTTTGGCCTTGTGCCACATTTTGCATTTTTATACAATTAAATATTACTTTCATCTGTGGTATCTAGACTTTATGTATTTAAGCGCAGTGATAGATTGGCGGCTAGGTCTCATAATTTTACTGTTGAAATAGCTACATTTAACCATAAGTTCTATACTGACAGTTTCTTATATCACACGTCTCACTTGTTGAAATCCCTTCCGGTTTCTTGCTTCCCAATCAACTTAGATTTTCAAAATTTAAATGCAATGTCAATCGTTATCTTCTGTTTTCTTAATTCATGTTCTTTTATTGTTTTCTCTCCTTAATAGTACTTTTCTCATATTCTGTAACACTTAGTAACCTCTAGCGTCTTAGTGGCTTTATTGCCTTGTTTGGTGTGAAATTATAAAAAAGTTCACAAATATGCTACATTTTATATTAAATAAATTGTCAACAATACATTTTATAGTAAAATGACAATATATTTTATAGTCAAATTGAAGACATGGCATATATTCCACCCCCCCCAAAAAAACAACAACAAAAACAAAAAACAAACAAAAAAAACAATTTGCTATGATTAATCTCATATCTTGTAAGGAGAAACAAGTTTTCACTCTTCATTTGGTTTTGTAAGATTATTTAGTAAAATAAAATATATAATCTAATGGCGAAATAATGTTATTCTCTTGAATTATAAGGTTTGAATTTTTATATTCATATTTCGGCATAAAATAACCCATACAGGTTGATATGCCATTAAACAGAAACAATCAACCAAGCAGCCATATTTTTACTTTTAAGTTTTTATTTTTTTCTTTTTTAACAAAAGTGCATTAAAATGAGGAAAATCTTGAATTACCTGAAGAGTTTATTTATTTAATGTAATGTACTCTTCAACCTTTTTATTTCTATCGCTGGCTTACTCAGCTACTCACTGAACTGTCAGTTAATAGTAGATTAATTGATGTTGCCATTAGAGTTCCGTTGCTGTTAAGTAGATGCTAAGTTTATAGCACAAAATTGTTTTGTTAAGCTAAACGGTATTCTCTAGAACTTTAAGCCATTAACTTTCAATACAAGTGAACTCCTCTGTGTTGTTAATTGTGCTTCCATAACGTTTCAGCCGATTCATTTTACAACCTCTTTCAGTTATAATTTTTTTTTCTGATATCATTTACTCACCTCTCCTTGTGGTGGCAGGATGGCATATATGGCCTGTGGTGTGTCCATACGTGTATAAATAGGCCAAGGGCAAAAAAATGTTCATTTCCCGCGACCACTGTCATTTTGGTGTCAATATCTACTGATCTTCCCTCGTTAGTACAATAAGCGAAGTACCCGTACCTGGTGTGGTATTCACCCGGTCGATTGTTCAGTCTCCGTCAAACGAACCCGCCGCATTCGAACGAAAACTGACCAAGTGTCGAAGTGGGGAATTTGGATTCTCAAGCGGTCCCCAGTCGCACGTATACACGTTTATGACCAGGTTCGAATTCAGAGTTCCTTTCTTCTAGAATGGTTGCCACCCAAGGCTATAGGACCCAGTAAGTTCTGGTATTTGACCCATATCTTGGGAGGGGAGAAGAGAAGGATTCATACATTTCCCAAGTGTATTACTCATAAGTGAATTTAATGAACTCGACTGGAATCCGAACTCGACCTTCCGATTCCGTACTCTGAGCTTCTAACCACCGCGCTTCCTAATTAACGAAGTGCTGTTCCTCGAAAACAGGCGTCCATCATGAAAAGATCGGCAGGATGTGATACACAGTCAGTTTAATGTGGGATCCCGAACATAGAGGCTAAGGACAAAAAACTGCCCAGTTCCTGTGACCATTCTCATGCTGGCGTCGCTATCTACTAACCTCTTTATTACAATAAGAGAGCTTTTTGTTGGACGCGTGGAATCTGAGGGACCGTCATAACCTTAAGAGGAAAAGAGAACATGTATTAAATTTGCGGTAGAGGGATGCTGATCGGCTATTTACACATCTTCCCACGGTAGAAGGATGTAACACAAAGACAGTCCCGTACATACTGGCTAAGGAGAAAAAATTACCCAGTTCACTACCTCTAATAACAAACTTTTTGGAGAACTGATACTAGAATATAATATGAAATAACTGATTTTTTATTCGTAAATAACTGATCAAAATTTTATTCTATACATGTTGAATAAAGTCGCTTCCACGAAGATTTACAATATAGTTTTTGCTTTCACACAATAAAAGATTCAAGTATTATTCGAGTTAGTGGGTTGCAGTCAAAATTGAAATGATGAATGTGGAGTGTGATATGAATGGGAGAGAAGTTAGTAGGAAGTGAATATTATGAGGAAAAAGAAGACACAACAATTGACTCAAGAGGAAAATTTGGACATTCACCTCTACTTGAACGACATATGTTTTTTTTTTATGAGTACGTGAAGCAAAATTTCAAGTAGAATAATAACAAGAGAAATAACTATTTGCTCCGCCACTTTTTTTTATGTGCCGTGTCCCTTCAGGACTTGGGCAGTTAGGAATCTCTACAAGTTCCTATCCTTTGTAGCTCTAAGTAATGACTGTTCTCTTATTCCTCCAAATCCCTGTTATACCATCCATTTCTTCTTCTTCTTCTTCTTCTTCTTCTTCTTCTTCTTCTTCTTCTTCTTCTTCTATGCGCTATGTCTCATCAGGACGTTGGCCATCTTGGTTCTCCACAATTTCCTCTCCTTTGTCGCTTTTAGTAAATTTTGCCTTTTTGCTATCTCTTTTAAATTCTCTTCTGTCATCCATTCACACAAGCTCGTTACAAGGAGTATGCGTTCCTTTTCTTTGTCGCTTTTACGTTCAGTCTTTGCTGTGAGTATCAAATTTTCCAAGCCCTTTTTCCTCATTATGTTCCCTAGCAAAGTCAACTATTTTTTATGCTAAGTATAAGTGTTCCTTTCCTTTCCATTTTCTCTAAAACGTCGTCATTTCTCATGGTATTCTCAGGATCCTTCTGTAGAGCTACATTTCTGTAGCTTCAAGTCTCGTCTTCACCTGTGAAGAAACTCTCCAGCATCTACTGCTATATATGAGGACTAACATTACGTAACAGTTCAGTACTCTTTTTTTTTCGTTTCTAAAGAAATTTTCCTATTACTTAGTACTATGCTTAGCTTTTGGAAGGCATGTTTCGCTATTCCAATTCGTCTTCGGATTTTGGTGTCGCATTTTCCGTCTTCTTTTAAAATTCTTCCCAGATATTTACATTTTTGTACTTACTTGATTTTGTCATTTCCAGTTTGTAAATTGCATATTAAGCTGTTCCTATTTCCTGATAACCATAATTTCTGTCTTCTTACAATTGATATTAATATTTTCTCGCTTTCGTTAAATGCAGGAATTCTTGTAGTTTCCTTTCTGTGATTGTTCTCAGCATCTTCATATCCTTTGTTAAGATTTTGACTGCCAATAATGAATGCTGTTAGTACTTCTAATCCTCGCAGAATCGCCTTACTTTATAGGTTGAATAAGTTCAGTGACAAGACACATCCCTGTCTTACACTTCTTTCTATTTTGGTATATTTACTAAATTCCTTTTCTATCCGTTTTCCGGTGGTTTACTTTCAGTATAGGTTCTGGATTATTCTAATATCCTTCCTACATATGCCAAGGTAACCAAGCAGTTCCGACAGTTTCTTCTGAGGTACTTTATCAAACACTTTTGCATAATCTACAGGGTGCGATGGATAGACTGTCGTCTACATTACGCAAAAATGAAAATAAGTGACATTTTTACAGACACATTTACCAAAATTACACAAAATATCTTGAAATACTAAAGCGTAAATTTATTCATTAAAATAGCCATTGGCTTCAACCACGTTCTACAGACGACTTCAGAATCTCCTGCAACTCGTCTGGACGGTCTCCTTGTTTAAGTTGATGAATGCTGCCATAATCCTTGCCTTCAGTTCATCTTTGTTGTTGCAAAGAGTTTTGTTGGTCTCTCGCTCAACTGCACCCCCACATAATAATCAAGGGGTTGCAATATGGGGAGTTATGTGGCCAGATGTAAGGGGTGATGTGGTTGCAGAAATTGTCTGACAGCCATGACTCGGTTCTCCTGTTTGTATGGCATGGCGCACAGTCCTGTTGCCAGACATAGGGTCTTCCAGCAGCAATCCTCTTTACCCAGGCCTGCACTACCTCCTCAAAGCACTTGCTGTAGGTCTCCGTGTTTAGTCTGAGGCCCTCACCAATAAATTCGGGAGTTCTTTTTTTTTTATCGAGAACGATCAGAATGTTTTCCGAGTTGCCGTACCATTGTAATCACCAATAGACTTATCGAACTCTTTCCGAATCCTCCGCACTGTCCTCAGATTGACATCCAAACACTCTAAAATGTTATTGGAACTTCTGGCACGAATACCAAGCAGTACAGCATGCAATTTTCAATTTTCTGTCGGAGTGAATTGCGTCATAGCACTCTTTTTTTTCACAGACGGTGCCCAACTGACCCTACTCAACTGTGCAGTCGACAAAATCTAAAACAACGCACATGTGCAAATTAAAAATATAAAATAGCGTCAATTTACCCATCGCACCCTGTATAAAACACAGGTATACATACTTTTGCGTTAGTGTTGCTCTTTCTGATATCATTCTGAGCAGGAATAAATCAGGTTGGTTACTCAACGTTTTCCCCTGTCTCTCTTGCCCTCAATATGTCTCATGAAGGTCAAATTCTCCAAGCCCTCTTTCTCATTATGTGTCCTAGACATTTTAACTGTCGCTTTCGATTTCTAAGTATAAGCATCCTTTTTGTTTCAATTTTCTTTAAAATTTCCTTGTTCAGTCCATGGCATTGTCTGCATCCTTCTGTAAAACCACATCTCTATTGCTTCAATCTTGTTATTCATTTGTGAGGCAATTGTCTTGCATTTACTACCATATAGGGGGACTAATATTACATAATAGTCCAGCACTCCAGGTGTCATCTAATTTCTTTATTAATAGTAATTCCGAGCGTTAGCTGTTAGATGTCAAAGGTTGCAAACATTTAAATTAATGACTGGGTAGTAACATTTGCCACATAACCAAATATGGTCATGCAGGGATAAGTTTCATCATTGATCTGTCTTTATTGTCTTTTTTCTTTCCTTCTGTTTGCCTATCTTACTCATTCTGTTAGGCTTTTAAATATTCTATCAGTGTTGTCCTTTCAACCGTTTTAATCTGTCTACGCGTTAGTAAAATATTTGACGAAAATTCATCTCAATGTTCTGACTTCCAACGTACAGAAGAGAAAACAGAGGGCGACCCTCAATTTCTGTCCTGACAATTACACGCCTTTCATTATGGCGTCATTCGAAAAATATCAGTTCATGGCATTAACATTTTACATTTTATTTCTGTTTCAGGAAATCTTCAACCTAAATCTAGTTTGTGTCGTAAATCAACACACGGAGACTGTTTTATCTAACACGGTTCCAACAATATACATCTGTAAATATCTTTCTTTCTTTCTTTCTTTCTTTCTTTCTTTCTTTCTATAAGTTTTTTCATATCTATCTATCTATCTATCTATCTATCTATCTATCTATCTATCTATCTATGTATATTCATATCTAAGTCTGTTCATATATATCTATCTATCTATCTATCTATCTATCTATCTATCTATCTATCTATCTATCTATCTATCTGAGATTAATCACCTACTCGTTGTGTTGGACAACACCTAAAATAAGTGTCAATGCCGGTCTATATCACATAACATCCGCGCCGTTATATTTGCTCTATTGGCGATCGTTGTTAATCTAAAGATTTATCTATTTCAAAAATAGAACTGAAGCTTTCCTAGCGGAGCCTGACTAATCCTGCGGCAAAGATAAGAGAATGACTTAAAAGACACAGGCTTTGAAGAACGGGTGGTCGTAAGTCGAGAAGATGTGCATATCGGGTTGATTTTTAAGACATTAATTGATTTTCTATAAAAATAAAAGGCTCAGAAGCAATTACCGAGGTCAACTGTATTTTAAGAAAGAAAAGTCAATGAACGTAAATAGAAGTTAGATAAATCTGTGGGAATTAAGGGAGTAAAAAAAAAACAGCAGGTAGAAGGATAAAAGAAGAAGGAATTGGGAAATATCAATAGAAGGATAAGGAAGAGATGGAAGGAGGAGAGAGTTGGGGATGGAGAGAGGAGAGTGAAGCTAAGGAAGAGAGAAGAAGGCAGAATAAAAAGGAGTAAGAAAGAAGGAATGGATTGAAAATAAAGGATGAGGAAAGAGAAAAAAAAAAGAAGTGAAATAGCTGAGATGATAAAGGAAGAACTTGTGAATAATGTAAGGCGGGGTTGAGAAGAAAAAGAAAGAAAAAACGTGAAAGAAGAGCAAAGAGCAAGATAAGAGGTTTTCAAAGAAGAAAAGCAGTGAAAGAAAGAGAATCCAAATGAGAAAATTAATAGAGAGTGGTAGAAATTAATATATATATATATATATATATATATATATATATATATAGAGAGAGAGAGAGAGAGTATAAAGAAATGCGTACAGTTAATTCAAGAAAGAAGAGGTGTGAAGAGGTGAGTGGGAAGGTACAGTTTGAAAGCGGGATTAAAAGAAGGAAGACGCAATGAAGAAAGAAAGTTACAAATCTCATTAAAGACGACTGACAAGATACTGCAATTATCCCTTTAAGCATTGACCACCGGTTTACCGGAGGTAGAGAAAAATAACTTAATGCCCAGCCACCGTTTGAACGGTGGGTAAACATTTGCGTCGTGTTTTACTATTGGTTGTCTTATTTGGGTAGACTGGGACACAAAGAAAGAATTCTGACGATAAAGTGAAATCATACTTTCTCACTGCTAAGTATAATGCTTATATTTTATATATGTGTGTATATGAAGATAATTGTACATATAAGTCTACCATTCGTCCACGCAGTGAATATTGCTATCACATCTGGTCTGATGTTTCTGCTATGGAATTAGAGATTCTTGATAAAATAAAAAGGTGGATCTGAAAAGTTATTGCTCCCGACTTGGCATCTCGGCTTCAGTCAATATCCATATTTTCTTACTACCTAGACTTTATGAATTTAAGCATCCTATTGGATTGGCAGCGAGGTCTTATCATTTTACAGTTGAAATTGCTTCATGTAACCGTACGTTTTATGCTAACAGTTTCTTTTCGCCTGTGGAACTACCTCTCGGGATCTTTGTTGCAGTCAACTTTGACCTTCAAAAATTTAAATGCAATGTCAATTGTTATCGTCTGTCTTCTTACTTGCTGTTCTTTTATTGTTCTTTCTCCTTAATAATATTTTCTTTTCTCATATTCTCTCACACACTCTTACCTCCTCTTAAGTAACCACTTACGTGTTAGTGGCTTTATTGTCTTGCTTTGGGGTGAAATGATTAATATATATATATATATATATATATATATATATATATATATATAAGTATGTATGCAGAAAGAGCATAGCATGCATACATATATATATATATATATATATATATATATATATATATATATATATATATATATATGAGTTTGTATGCATGCTCGTGCTCTTTCTAACCTAGCAAAATTGGTTCAGATAAATTGGTCTATGTTTATTCTCGAATATAAGAACACACACACACACACATGAGAACATATATGCTTAAATAAATAAGGAGAGAGAGAGAATGAGAGAAAGAGACGGGACAATAGAAAGAGAGAGAAGGGGGGAAAGAGAGACATGAGAGATATGGATAATATGTGATCTGAAAAGACTGAAAAAAGATCCAAAATGTCTTCTCGAAAAGTATTATTGGCATGTAGACGCATGCGTGTAAACTACGTTTAATCCAATCATCTACCCAACAATCTATATTAGATAATTGTCTCAATTGGCTTGACGTCATAATTCCCTGAATCAGTCTTTTTTTTTATCGTATATTAAGCTAAATTGACTACAGTGCATCCTCTGTATTTCACATTGATTGTCCGTTTCTAATAAGTCAAAACCCTAATGCATCGAAGTAATGTGCGTTTAGCTAGGGCATTCGAGGTGAATGATGACCTTCATAATTTTCCAAATTTTGGCATGTAAATTGTTGCAATTCTTCTTCTTTTAATGTACCTTTTCATCCATTCATCCTGACATCAAAGCAGCCATTTTTGGTTATTCTATCTGCGTATACGCTTTTCCCCCTCCTTTCTCTTATTCTCTTTCCGATCCAAATCTTAATTGTTTTTTTTAGTCTTCTTTCAATCTCTTTTATCTTTTTTTTCTGTTCTTCTTTTTCTCTATTTCTCTTTATTCATTAATTTCTTTATTCTTTCTTTAATCCTTTTTTTAAAAACATTATCAATTATTTTTATCTTTTGCCATAAGTTTTTTTACTTCTATTTTACCTGATTTTCTCCAATTCTTTGTTCTATCTTTATTTTTCTTCCTTTCTTTTAACTTCTTCTATTCAATCCTTCTCCCTTTCCTTCTCTTTTATTTTTCTCTCTTCTTCCTTCCCCTAAGGATTCCACTCACATTTTGATGCTCATTCCATTTTTGCAGTTTTCTCTCTTCCGATATTTTTAGGCGTTTTTTTTTAAATTTTCTCTCACTACGTATTTTATTATTTTCCGCATTTCTATCCTCCACTTATTTCATGATATTCCATTAATTTTATTTTTTTCCAGTGGGTATTGGCCTTGTCTCTGTTGCAATTTGTTTAGCTTCTTGGTGAAATATCTCCCTTAGACGTCCTCATTTATTTTTTAAAAATACATCCAATGTTTCTAAAACCCAATTATTCCTTACTAACTGTCAATCTCTCTTTCCGAATCACTTCCCCTCTTTCTTCTCCTCTCTCTTTGCGCTCTCCCTTCTCCAAACTCTCTTAACTTCACCTTTCACATAAATCCATATATAATCTACTAAAAACTATTAATGAGGAAAAAACACACACAGTATATATGTACTAATAACAAAAATATTTTATGTCTAACAAAACCAGTAAATTACTTGAGGATAATTCATTTGGGATGAGCGGAATTTTCTAAATAAAGTTCTCGTTAGTAAAAAGAAAGAAAAGAAGAATAAATAATGAATAGATAAATAAGAATGTCAATGAATTGCCTTACGAGTCAGAGTTTCGAAGACACAGATTCGCATATTAGGGGGAGATAAATCTAGGGAATTTATTAACACATTGCAACCTCTATTTTAAAATACATGTTATATCTATTTTTAAGTGTTTTAAAATACGTATGATATTAATTAATACATTCACTTGTTTTGTCTTACCCTGACGAGCAGATCTGTGTCTGCGAAACTCCGAATCGGAATATATCATTCAAATTTCTATCTATCTATCTATCTATCTATCTATCTATCTATCTATCTATCTATCTATCTATCTTATCACAATCTCTTCATATCTATCTATCTATCTATCTCATTCAATCACTCACTCACTCACTCACTCACTCACTCACTCACTCTCTCTCTCTCTATATATATATGTGTGTGTGTTTGGTTGGTTGTATGTGTTAGGTGCATCATTATGGCCACAGCCTAATGACGAAAATATTCATTTTGCACAATAAATATATTTTCCACCTAAGCGTCTTCACTGTCAATGTCCTCAAACTAACACTTCCCTATTAAACCAATAGATGGAACGTTGTACAACAGTAAATAAAAATTCAACTAGTTACTAGATAAGTGTTTTTTTAAAGAAATTCCATTTCTTTGCTTAATTATTTACGTATAAGGAAGCCTATATCTGGATCCATTTTATAAGTATTATCCGAATGTTTGTGATTGTCCTCGAACCAAGTAAATGTTTACGATATCTGGCTTTATTTCTGAGATGAGGTATTGTAATTATTTAAAATTTTAACCAGTAATACGGAGTGCTAAAGAAAAACAATAATAACAAAATTGCAATATGACCTCTGGTAAAAAAATGTTTACTAGGATATTAGGTTTATAAGTCTCCAAAAATCATACACTGATGTTCTCAAAGACACATGACCCAATGTATAAAAGCATTGGTTGATTCCAGTGACTTGACGCAAAGAGTTGTGAGTTAAAAACGTGGAGAGTTAAGTTAAAGGGAGATACTGAGACATCCGGAAGTGGCATAGAACAATCTACCCTGGTGGATTAAATAAAGGGTTCAGTTCGAAATTTCAATAACATGAACAAGGCCGGAGCGTACAAGGGACGGAATATCATGAATATGGCAACAACGATGAGGATAACAGTCCGAAAAATGTAAATAGTGTAAATGTTTTCAGATTTAAATATAAATGAACAATATTTACCTGTCTGCAAAGCATATATAAGTTTACTGACTGAAATATAAACAACCAATATTCTACTATTCCCAAACCAAGTAAATGTTTACTGACACAAATATAATCGACTAATATTTAACTATCACCGAACGAAATACATTTTTACTTACTCAAATATAATCGACCAATATTTAACTATCCCCAAATCAATTAAAGGCTTGTAGACTCAAATATAAACGACTATATATATCTGTTTTCAAATCAAGTGAATGTTTACTGACTTAAATATAGATAACCAAAATTTACTTATTACGGGACCTAGTAAATGCTTATAGAAAATAACGATAAAGCATAAAAAGCAACATCAAATCACCCCAAAATGGTCGATATGGTGTAAAATCAACCAAAATAAACCAATTATATTCATTGAACAAATAAATTTATGTTTCTTTTAACTATTTTTATTTTCAGTCAAAATAATTCAAGCCTGTTAGAATTTTTTTTATCTTTCTGATCAAAGAACAGTTTATAGACTTGTTGGGAATTTTAAGTACATTTTTCTAAAAGTCGAAATACATTAAAATTCAAACAGTATAATATCTGGGGGAATACAGCATACAATTAAAAACTTACGAGTTAAGTTGTAACCAAAGGAACACGCAACGGTGTCTACTTTTCCTAATACCTGACGCTCAGTGTCGATTACTCCCTTAAATTTGTCTAATTAAGAGCAGGGGTTGTTTGAATCAGTCGTTTGGTTCTTCAGAAAGAACTCATAATGGAAGTCTCTTTCTAATTCCATTGTATACTGAGCACGACCTCTTTGAATGAAGATTATCCTTTAGTAATGTTAATGGCAACTTATTTTATTTTCCTCATGAATTCTTGCTGTAACTCTTGTAAGCTATAATCTTCTTATTGCACGTCACAAATTTATTTAACAAACAGAACATTGAAGTACGGTTGATTAGGGTTTTCTCTTAACTGATGTGGAACTCATACCTCAAAGCAACTAATATAAACAATATGCAATTGATGATTGTCAGCGCTTGATCTGGATGCTTGATTGCAGAACGAAACTTCGCAAGCGACTTTTGACACGTTTGATCTTTTACAGTACCTTCTCCATAAAACAATTTTTTTCCTTTGAGTTGCAATTTTAATATTAAATAAAACGAAATAATATACCAAAAATGTTTCTTAATTTCTTATATCCTAACTCTTAGGATAAATAAACATAAATGCTCCATAAACAGAAAAAAACATGCTAATATTATTGCTATCACAATAAAACCTAAACAAGTCTTTGCAAAATTACTTTTTCTTACGCAATCTAATTATAAAAAAGAGTAAACTTTTGGACAGCCCAAAATGAATTTCAGCTCATGTCATAACAGAAAAAAGATAAAGTTTGACCGGTATAGGCTACAGTATGTGTACATTTGTCTAACACGGTAAGAGGTTTCTAAAGCAAAATATAAATCTAGAAACTCAAGCTCTGTCAAATATAGGCTCTCATAAGGATATCATTTAACCAGTACAGAAATGTCTAAACTATCAGGTGTATAAAACCATTTCCTGAGAGCAATGATTTAAAATGACTTCAAGCGAATGAATCTTTTAGGTTTTAAAGAAAAAATCCTTCCTCAGATTCGATAGACTGACGCTACAAAATCACAAAGATCATTACCAAATAACAAAAACCACATCACGTAAACACTTCCAACAGCAGCAGCAACAAGAATGGATAGCACGTGCAAATAAGAGTAAGAAAATGATATAATCATGATGTTAAATTTTTAAACTATTAAAAAAATTTGATTGATTAGTTTTTTTACGGCTTATGAACCCTTTGTAGGTTATTTTAATCCAGAAATTGTTTTTTTTTTAGATTGTAAGAATTATTTTTGAGGTAATAATGGTTTAATGATACAAGGCTTTTTAATGAATCCATAACTCTCGAAGAGTGATAGATTCATGCCTTTCCCAAAGGTATTGGTCTATAAGTGAATATAACGAACCCAACTAGAATTGAAACACAGCTCTACGATTAACAATTCCGAGCCATTATTCATTATATCACGCGTACATCAAAGCTTACAGCATTTGGTATTCCCAAGCGGTCACCTATCTAGGCACTGACCAGGCTCGACGTTGCTTAACTTTGGTGATCGTACGGGAATCGGTGTTCCATCGTCATGTGACTGTAAATCAAAGACAGTAATAAAGAATCGAATCTGTTATTTCGTATTTGTCATTTTATTGGATGCTGGGAAAATGGTCACGGTTTATTCTATCGTTCCTGGAAGTTGCCTTACTCCTTCTGTATGTCTCACGTTTACAAGAGTCAAATCAGACAACAAATAGCGTATTGATAACATATCTTGGCTGAAATTGCTTAATTTTCATTTTCCAGCCTTGAGTCCGAAATCGTTTACACAGTCCTGCAATTGAAGACTTATTCTTCATTCTGATAGCCTCTTTCTCCACAGACATAACGTTGCTAGCCCATCGCTGTGCTGTCACTATTTGCATAGAAAAGTTCAGATGATCGTTTCATTCCACTAGTTCTGATTTTTATAGATAGGACCCGTCAAGGCTAGTTCCATCGAACCAAAATCAGTTGATCGTACGGGAACCAATGTTTCAACGTAATGTGGCCATAACAGATTTGGAAGAAAGCTCATCGGTACTAGAAAGGACAATGGTAATTAAAGGTAATGAGAAGTCTAATTTCCTGAAAAAAAATTCAACGAACAAGTAACTTTTCGGTCAATGAATACTGAATGTTTCTTGTATGGAAACGACTAATTTTATCATTACCATTATCACTAGAATTAGCATCGGGCAAAACCTATGTATAAAACCTATGTCTTTAATAAGAATTTAAAAGTTTAAATGTTACTTTTTATTAATAAACTGACTAAAAAGAAAATAACGTTTGTATCGACCTGAAATTTTAGGTTCATATTTGACAGAATAAAATTTACATTTATTTTGATATGAAAGAGCAAAATTTCTTTGTTGTTTATGTTTTCGGTAAAGGAACTGCGTGATTTAGAATGAAAAGAAATGAAATAACAATACAGTCACCGCTTTTACTTTTTAGCAAAAAAGACGAAAGTATAAAGACACGAGTCACTCTAAATTTAATAAGGCCATTACCAACACAATAACGTCAAAGATGAAACTCATTTTGAAAATGGAACCATTTTTATTAGAGTGAACGCGTCCCGAGTTCACTTTCTTTACGTAAATGTAACATCTGAATTGATTGGACTTTAAATTGTATGACGATATTTTTGTTGGTTTCATTCTGTTTTAAATACATTTTTATTTTGCTCTATAGACATTACATAGGATGAATATGCTTGTAACTTGATTTTGTTGACATAATGATCGTCATGAAATATAAATGTTTTTATAAATTTTAGCGCGACGATTATGTGCGGGTGTCCTAATGGTTATCGACACGGAATGTAGAATTGGCATGTCGAGCACAAATTTCAGCCGAGTCTGTGGGATTTATTTTACACTAATGCCCTTTGAGAAAGGCATGAACCCATTTCTTTTCCTCATTCCAGTTATAGGTTTAATAGCAGGGTAGATTGGTCTCTCTAACTTTGGGTGACAGCTATTCTTAAGAAATAAAGCAATTATTTTTCTAGTCTAAGGAATTTTTGTTAAAAGATTTCCCACTTAAAAAAAAGTTCAATGTACTTTTCTTTATATAGTCAGTCAATGCTGTTCCCATCAGACAGGCGTAATAAGCAACATTTTAAATTTCAGATTTAACTTATCAAGTCATTTTTTTATTTCGATACTACAATGGCTCACAAGAGAAAACAAATAGGGGAAACTTCTAAAACTTATTGGTGTGTCACCCGACGCTGGCCATAAAATCCTACTTTTGGCTGTAAAACAATAAGAGACTGAAACGAATTTTACACTTACTTTTAAACCATATCGCTTGGAATGACCGACGTGAAAACGAAATCTCAAGTGGCAAGCTAATGTGTTCATCACATTACAAACACCAATTTTATCTGGCCACGGCACCGGAAGTCAAGAAGTGGAGAAGGTGCAGAGGAAAAATATTATATTATATTTGTCATCATCCGGGTTCGTACAGGCCGAGAATATTTTGACATGATTTCCGTTCTCCCGTTCAACAACGTCGCACTGTCTTGAAACGTAGCTATCGACAACTTCTCCTCCTG